TTCAAGCCAAAGGTCAGGCATAGCAACTACACCGCTGCACTACGGCGACAATGTGCAATGATCAGCACGCGTGGAGTGACCCAGAGGTCCCGGTATGTGACACAGACATGTCCCATGCATGCCACTCCGCCTGATACAAGAGGAAAGCTGTTATATTCGATGCATTTTCAGGTCTTCGGGCACCAAGAATTGTCAGTAAATTCGATCTGTCGTTATTTTCGAGGTCGTTATACCCGATCTATAATGTACAGAAAGGACTTACAAAACGACTTGGGTAACAGAATTTTGTCGCTAAACTCGATTTGTCATTATATCCAAGGTCGTTATATCCAACCTCCACTGTGTTTCGAAAAGAACGGAAGGCATGTGTCTTTGTGCGCAGCCATGACAATCATGGTGGTCCAGAGTGAGAACGCACAAAGCAGGCGCAGGTCAAATATATCCCACACTTTGCAGTGGCCTATTTTCTGATTACTTTGCCATTGGCAGCCACTGGCTATGTTACTGTATTGTCCTCTGGTGCACTGACGGGTTGAGTACAAAGAGGTGATAACTAGGGCTGAAACGATTATACCGAATAATCGAGTACTCATTTGATAACTCTAACGATCGAGCAATCGTTTAGATTACCGATTACGATTATTTTGCGTTTTTTAAATTTTTAATTTCTTATACGCGCAGTGCATGCAGCGCGAGTTCAAACATCGAGTACAGTCCTAGTGTAGTACAACGAAGCTGGAGCATGACGTTCGAAGGTCAAGGTCTCGTCCGGTCTATACATTTTTTGTGCCAAATTTTGTACATATTTCCACTTTTGGCCATTCCACGTACATATTCCAGGTGCGGCCTCGTAAAGATTATAATCGAATAATCGATCGTTATGATGAAGAGTAATCGATTGGGCTAAATGGATGATCGTTTCAGCCCTAGTTCAGCCCTAGTAATAACTGCTATTTCTACCGCACGCAACATCCGCAATGCCTGAAACAACATCCATAGAGATGTTGTCTAGGTACCAAAGAAGTAACCTTGGCAACCAGATATGAATAATGTTGTAGTGAGTACAGTGGTCGGTGACTACATGTACAATGTTTGCACCGTGTAAGGTGATCATTGGTACAACATTCTCTTTACACGATTCAAACTTGGACTGACCAACTGGAAGGAATTAGACTCAGTGGCCATACCACATACACAATTCAATACAGGATTCGGTGTCGGTGGTGGTGTTGGTGCTAGTGGTGTTGCTGGTGGTGGTGGTGATTGTGGTGGTGGTGTTGGTGGTGGTGTTGGTGGTGGTGGTGGTGGTGGTGATGGTGGTGGTGCTGGTGATTGTGGTGGTGGTGGTGGTGCTGGTGATGGTGGTGATTGTGGTGGTGGTGGTGGTGGTGGTGATGGTGGTGGTGCTGGTGATGGTGGTGGTGGTGGTGGTGGTGGTGGTGGTGGTGGTGGTGATGGTGGTGGTGATGGTGGGGGTGATGGTGGTGGTGGTGGTGGTGGTGGTGGTGGTGGTGGACGTGCTGGTGGAGGTGGTACTGGTGGTGGTGCTGGTGGTGGTGGTGATGGTGCTGGTGGTGGTCGCGCCTCATCTCAAAACGCTTTGACTTTCTCCACAGGACAAGAGCTGCTATGCTTGTCGTCTGCTAGCTCTGGATGATTTCTACTTCACCACCAACGAAGTAAGAATACGCGATCGTTGCGAGGTCAGTTGATTACGACTCGTACCGTCGGCGGAATCACCTCGATCTTAAAATGACCTTTTTTTAGCCGTGGCCTGCCCATTTATTTTAGCTGTGTGGTCACAGCTCATGCAGGCAAGTGTAATATCACGTCCAGCGCGCCCTCTTTTTCAGCATCAATGGTATACCCTGGTACGACACCTGCGCGTGCATCACTAGCACTACGTGTAGAGTCTACGCGGCTCTTTCAGGTAAAATCATGTACTGAGTGTCTCAGCCAGAGCGACACATTTTATCGTAGTTGCATGCATTTAGTTTGCTGACCCCTCAATGTTTCTCCAAACGCTGCCACTTGTTCCACGAAATCATTCTCACCCCAGCTAAGGTAAAATAGTGATGAGGCTTTGAATGAATGGCCATAAGCAAGAGAAATGTGCAGGTTGCAACACCTGACTGATCTCAGCGAGTGGAAATTACCATCGCAGCAACATCAGCAAAGAAATTGCGTCTAGTTCAAAAATTTCAGCTTCCAATAACAGAAAATAGAACTTTGCCGTCACCCTATACTGATGACTATCGCCTATGTCCGATTCCTTGCCTCTGGTACGAGTGCTGGTGAGTAAAAAGCCCGTTTTATATCAAAAGTCAAACTGCGACAATTTCGATGACGCGGAGGAAGTATATTATAATAATAATATAATAAAAGTGCTGTCTTCTTGACCACTGTGTCATCAGAGCCCCCTTTTCGCCTCTGTATGCGCCGCTGCGCATCGATTGGCCACTTTTCGCCTCTGCATGCGCAGCTGCGCATCGATTGGGCATGTCCTTTGTTCTAGATGTATTGTCGTTCTTGCAACGCATTCTTTCATAACTCTCCTTCTTTACAACTTCTTTACTACTTCAAGAACTGTTGTTCGAAAGAAAGATTGCTTGTGCAAAAGTGCTGCCCAAGCACACCACAGACACCCCAGCCCGACACGGACTCTATTAGACAGTGGCGAGAAGGGATCAGTATTGGTTTGTGCTAAAGAATTTTTGATGATTATTAACTTACCGTCTGCAGTTGCCATCAAGAACATCCGAATTGAGGACAAGATAGGAACAGATCCGTCATAGGAGAAGGAAGAGCGAGATGATCATACAGAAGTAACAAACGGTTGAAAAGGTCACACCACAGACAAGCCAACAATCCATATTAATAGGAAGATTTTATAATAGCTATAAAGAGAACAAATTCTGCTGTCATCGCCACACTACAACAAAGTCATGAAGGTTTACGAAAATCGATTTTCTTGTCACAATCATCAGTGGAAAGCCGTGACTGAAGAATAACCATGCTAAATCAATGATTTATATACATTCAATAATGATTGTGTTACGAGAACAAAACAAAGTGCTAAAATAGAATGAGGGAAGGTGAGACAATAGAAGTGAAGTGAGAGCTAAGTGCAACAGGGGTGAGGAACTAATTGCAACGCTAGAACTGTGTAGTGAGACAAACAATCATGCTGTGCACCTACGAAAACAATCTTAACGCAACCATATGTTTCTTCTGCTTACAAAGATCAGGCTTATGCAAACGAATACAAACAGCCTCAAGTACTTTCAACTGACTAGCGTACCGTGCACGACAAAGAACAGAAAAACTAAAATCATCATACACTACAGACACTTAGGGTGAGACAACAGATGAAGAAAAACGGCAGACTTCTTACGATCACAATCACCATCTGATTCCTCGTCTCCACCAACCGCAACCTCGTCCCCCGTCTCATCTTCCAACTCGTCCTCAGTGTCGTCCTCCGTGTCATTCTCCTCATCAACACCGATCGGTCCCAGGCTCGCTTCATGTTGCTGAACCTCTGTTCGTTGACTCCTCCTTTGATCTTGATGGTAATTTGTTACCATTGTTGTTGTTGTCATTGTTGTTGTTCCTGTTGTTGTTAAATCTTCTGTTCCCAGTGTCTTCGCCGGTGCTTGACATCCAGTACTGTAATAATTCATTGAATAATTAGCCGTTGATCGTCTAGGTCTTTGAATGTTGATCGTGTTGTTTTCTCTGTTGAATTCCGTTTCCTTCAGCCTTCTTTCTTCTTGTTCATGTTCAGTGCTTACCTCATCCATATTTGCCCGTGCCAGCGACACCACGGACTCAGCCCCAGCACTGCCGATGACAGATGCAGGTGGCGGTTCTGGGGGAGGCAACGGCAACGATGGCGATGGGGGCATCACCTCATCGCAGCGTCCACTTTTGGTCTTGAGCTGGATGTTGTTGTGGTGTACTCTCTTGTGTTGTTATGGTGCATTGTGTTGTGGTGACAATGTGCACATTATCCATCTCCACGGCTCTCGATACGGGTAATGGAGGCACTGTTGCCGTCGACGGCAATGGTGCTAACGATGGCTGTGATTGAGGGTTCTTAGGTGGCCTGCCGCGTTTGGGTCGCAGTGCCC